AGCTCTCCCAAAAGGGCGAAAGAAGTTATGAAACTGGGTAAATGTTAAACCTGTTAGAAATTCTTCCCATAAAGTTTCTCCCAGATACATTCCCCTTTTCCCTGAAGTGACAAAATGTTTGAATCATGTTTCCATAAAGCACGGGCACTCCCAGGGGATGCTGCCCGGGTCCCTGGGGGAGCCGTGGGGCAGGAGCTGCCACTCAGTCTGGTTTGAAGACCCTGCAGAGGCAGGGACAGGGGTGGGAGCAGGACCTGGTGGAGCTTTGGGGACTTCAGCACTGGGGCTGGGCTGGGGACAGGGTCCCCAGGGATTTGGGGAAGGGGGGGTGAGTTATCCCCACCTGCACATGGGGAGCCAGGCTTCTGCGCTGCCACATCAAACGCTGAGACAAGGCACTGTATAAATATTACATCAAACTCCCCGGGTTGCTTTTCATGTCAGACCACCTCCTGCCAGCTGGACCCTTTGACTGCGCTATTAGGGTACCTGAACAGCAATTAGTTGGGGTGGCAAAGGGCTGCCGAGCGGAGCTGCGGCCGGGGAGCAGGAGCTGCGTGAGGTCCTGCCTGCTGCCCCGGGGGAGAGGAATCCTCTCCCCACAGCTGCTGGGAGGATGCTGTGTGGGGCAGCAGTGGTTTTTGAGCAACGGGAGCTGTTGGGGTGTAGGACACCCCTGCTGCTCTGCACCAGCACCCACAGTACAGGCACCGTGGGACAGAGGTTGGCAAAGCGACACTGGTGAGGCCCCAACTGGAATGCTGCACCCTGTTCTGGGCTCCCCAGTTCAAGAGGGACAGGGAACTACTGGAGAGAGTCCAGCGTAGGGCAACAAAGATGATTAAGGGATTGGAGCACCTGCCTTATGAGGAAAGGCTCAAGGAGCTGGGACTCTTTAGCCTGGACAAGCAAAGAGTGAGGGGAGACCTTGTTTATAAGTATCTAAAGAGTGAGTTGAAGGATGTTGGAGCCAGACTCTTTTCAGTGGTTTCCAGCGATAGGACGAGGGGCAACGGGCTCAAGCTGGAACATGGGAAGTTCCATTCAAATATGAGGAAGAACTTCTTTCCGGTGAGGGTGATGGAGCACTGGAACAGGCTGCCCAGGGAGGTCGTGGAGTCCCCTTCTCTGGAGATCTTCAAGACCCACCTGGATGCAGCCCTCAGTGATGTGCTCTAGGCGTTCCTGCTTTAGCAGGGGGGTTGGACCAGATGATCTCTAGAGGTCCCTTCCAACTCTGACAATTCAGTGATTCCGTGAAAGCACTGCTGCCCAGGCCTGACGCCATGGTGATGGGCACCTGGAGCAAGCTGGTGGGGTGGTCTGCACAGCTCGGCATCGTGCTGTGCTGGCACAGGCTGAGATCCAGCTCTCCCAGACCATCTGGGACCCTGCTGGGCTGCTCAGCACCGAGGGTTTCCAGGGTGGTGTTAGCTGAATAGCCTTTCCATTAGCCTCCACCCCAAAATACTGGCCCTGGGGGCAATGGCTGTAGCCCCAAGAGGTGCTACAGGAAGAGAGGATCAGGCAAGGCTGTGGGCTGTGGAAAGCAAGAGGAAATAAGTGCCAGCAGGACAGCGTGAAGCTGATGCACAGGGTAGCAGGTAAGGGTTTGGGGATGAGAGGTGGCTGCAAGAGCATTTTCCTTCCTGCTGGACAGGCTCTCCTCTCTGCATGGGGTTTGTCACAAACCCAGTGTGATGTGTGATCCTGTTGAAAGGTGGCACAACATGCAGGGCTGTTGTTTCTTCTGTGCCAGTGGTGAATCACACGGAGCGTTTCTCAGCCTCAGCTTGCAATCTTCACCCTTCTCCAAGGCCATCTCCTGAGGTGGAGGGAGGGGTTGGGGAGCTGCCACCGGAGCCTTCACTCACACTGGCAGGGACCCCAGGGGCAGCTCTGCCCAGCAGGACACCATGAGCACCAGTGCTGGTGGAGCTGGATGGCAGGAGATGCCAGCTCAGGTGGGGAGCAAGGGCTGGGGAACGATGTCCAGGCTGGCACCGGGAGCTACCAGTCCCTTCTCACCAGCACTGCTCCCACCTGCCCCTCCTGGTGGGGAGAGTGATGAGTTTGGGAGGTCTCAGCAGAGTGATGATGCTTTGTGGGGAACTTGTGTCTCCCCAAGCAGGAGAGCCCAAATGGCTCAGTGCTTGCTGGAGCTTGGGCTGGTTTGGGCACCGGCTCTTTCTGCCAGCCTGGTGCTTTCTCTGCCTGCTACTGACGCTCAGGCTGGGAATACAATGAAGAACAGTGTAATATATGGAAATGAATCCCCAAACTCATACTGTGTCTGTTTTGCATGATTGGTTTCTATTAAATTACTGCTGTGCAAACACACTGGCAGAGCCTGGTGGGTTTGTGCGTTCTGGAGAGCGGGAGTCTCTGCACCGGCTGCTCCGAGGCGCGTCTCCTCTGGAGCTCACAGGATTGTCCTCTCCTTCCCTCCTGCACAGCGTATTGCTTTCTGTGATGATTCAGCTTCGAGCCTCTCATTCTCTTTAAGGGATTGTTTAATATTTAAATACTTGTCACCAGAGCTGGAGGCTCTGAGCGCAGTCGGCAGGGGCTCTCCTCCTCCTGGCAGCCCTCGTTACGCCGACGGAGCCACGCACGGGCACTGGTGGGGGACCAGCCCGAGCCCTGGCTGGCCCCTTGACGGCAGAGAAAGCAGTGCTCTTAATTACCAAAAGCCCATTTCCAATTCTGTTTCTTCTCTTACTCTGTCTTTTAATCCTAATTACAAGTAATCTTAGATGTCAGTGTGAGGAGCAGAGGAGCTAATCCGATGTGACAGTCCAATCGTCTCCGCTGCCCCTCATGGGTTTGGCTGCAGTTCGTGCTGGGAGTGGTGAGACCAGCTCTGGCCACCAAGCCCTCTCTCCTCTGGCTGCCTGAGGGTGGCCAGGGTGTCCATCCATCCAAGGCCATGGTTGAAGGTGGGGTGCATCCCCAAGTGAGCCCCAGGTCTTCTGTGAGCTGATGCGCTTCTGCCCATCAGCACCGGTGGGGCCATGTTCACTAGGAGATGTGTGAGTCCTTGGGCAACCCTGGAGGATGTGCAGCTTGACCAGGGGCTGGTGTCCCCCTCGATGCTTGCAGCTGGGGACAACTCTGAGCCAAGGCAACACTCCTGGTCCTGCTCCTCTCCCCATTGTGAGGGCATCCCAGCCCTGAGCCCAGCCAGGATCTCCCTCTGCCACCCTGGTGCTGAGCAGCTGGGGTGAAGTCACCTCTCAAGGTGTCTGCTTTTCCCTCCTGGACCTCAGCTCCTGCCCTGGGCTACAGCCACCTGCAGTGTGGCTCTGTCTGTCAGCGCCTCCATGGTCCTTCCCCAGGGCAGCTCCTTGGGCACGTGGGCTTGGGATCGGGAACTGAGCAGGATTTGCAGAGCTGCAGGAATGAGAGGGAAGGTGGGAGCTGCTCACCAGAATGACGTCGGTCTCCACCACGCCGGTTTCCATGCATGCTGATTTAGGGAATGATAGCAAATGAGCCTACTTTGCAGAAATTGAGGAAAATCCCAGTTCGCAAATATTTTTTCATGAGGTTTGCAATTTTCTGTGTTGCTCTGATGCATTTTACCCAGCTCTGCCCAAGACTGAGCTACTGAAAAATAGACCCGCTGCCTTTGGAAGGTATAAGAAAAGAACAGGGACTTGATGTGGCTCCCCACGCTTACACCAGCGCCCTGTGGGGCAGGCAGGGCACCGGCAATGACACTGATGGTGTTGGTGCAGCTGCCATTCTGCCACTGGCTAACGCCATCGGGTCCTGCTGTGATGGCCACGGGGCTCCTGAAGAAACCAGCTTGGCTCCTGGAGCACAGAGCTGTGGAGCGGTGGTGGCTGTTTGCAGGTGGGAGTCTGAGCGGCTGAGGGTAAAAGCTCCCAGCCCAATTCATAGAATCATAGAATGGTTTGGGTGGGAAGGGAACTTAAAGCTCATCGTGTTCCACCCCCCTGCCCTGGGCAGGGACACCTCCCACCAGACCAGGTTGCTCCAAGCCCCATCCAGCCTGGCCTTGAACCCCTCCAGGGATGGGTCATCCACAGCTTCTCTGGGCAACCTGTTCCAGTGTCTCATCACCCTCAGAGTGAAAAATTTCTTCCTGATATCTAATCTAAATCTACCTTCTTCCAGTTTGAAGGCATTACCCTTCATCGTATCACTACATGCCCTTGTAAAAAGTCCTTCCCCAACTTTCCTGTAGCCCATTTTAGGTACTGAAAGGGGGTATAAGGTCTCCCTGGAGCCTTCTTGTTTTAGGTACTGAAAGGGCTATAAGGTCTCCCTGGAGCCTTGGCATTACCCTTCATCGTATCACTACATGCCCTTGTAAAAAGTCCTTCCGCAGCAAAAAAAGCTGAGCAGCCCCAAAGACCGTTGGGAGAAGGATGATGAAAAGGGCTTCTCGGTCTTGTAGGCTTCCATCCACCAGCTCCTATTGCTTGCCCCATCACCCTGACACGTGCCCGGCAGCTCCTGCTGCCCACGCTGCTGCCCCACTCCTCCTCCTCCTCCTCCAGGATGAGCTCTCCTGGCTTGTGGCTCGTTCCGGGCTCTGGTGCTGCACGCTCCTGCTGGGATGAGCTCTCCTGGCTTGTGGCTCGTTCCTGCCGGCCAGTCACCAGGGTGGCAGTGAGACTGCACCAACTCCTCCGGTTTCAGTAAAGCTCTTTCCTGCGAGAGTTTGTGAAAGTGGCCCCAGCCTAATTGGTGCTATCGCCCGCGCTGCGGCTAATTCTGGTGTTTTACAGCACCGGGGGCTGCGTTTCCTATTGATTTCATAGGTTGCTAATGGTCTTTTTCGTACAATAAGAGGCTTTTGTGGGAAGAACTTAATCCAGCCCGATCGCAGGGTGAAATTGCACAGCTTACTGCTTAGATTTCCAGGACGTGATCTGCTTTAATAGCAGAAGGAGTTTTATCTAATACATTTAATGCTCCAATATTTTTATAGCACGACAGGTCCTAATTGAGCTGTGTTTCTGTACCAGGAGCGCAGGAGGCCACTGGGGAGGAGGTGGAAGCTCTCATGGTGGCACATGGGGACCTTTGCAGTGTGACTGTCACCTTCACCAGCTGCTGTACCGAGCACCGGCGCTGCCACGCATGGACTTTATTAAGGTGAGGTTGGTGTTGAAGATGACAGAGCAGTGCAGAGAAGTGGAACTTTGTTTTCCCCAGGGTTATTCGTTTTAATTTCCTCTCTCCACTGTTGCTGCTCCTGCTGCCGTGCGGTGAGTGCTGCTTGCTGTCGGGTCAGAGGCCGGGGTGGGCAACCCCCGTGCCAGGAGGGGATGGTAGGGGTGATGGTGCACGGTGACAACACAAGCACGGGGTGATGGGCACTTTTTGGGGCAAGGGGTGGCCGGGGCAGGGCCAGGTCCTGGGAACTGCAGACACGCTCTCCCACCAGGCAGGGCAGGCAGGATGTGCTGGCATCCAGACGTGTTCACCCCAGGATGCAGGACATGCTCACCCATGACGTGCTCGCCCTGCTGTGTGTGTCAGCATGTGCTGGCCCAGACCTATTCCAGCCACGTCTGAAGCAGTTGAGCCCGTCCCCTCCTGGGCTCGTAGCATCCAAGAGCAGAGCTCTGGGCACAAACGTGCACAGAGGGGGTGGAGTCGTGCTTCTGCCTTTGAATTAAGCGTGCAGGAGATATCTAAATGGATTGTGACGGCCAGGATTAAAGGTTAGGAAATTTCTCTGTGTAACTTATGTAAATGAGGACTAATGAGGTTTTCATGATTACCTTTAATTAGCTTTTCCACAAGTAGTGGTGATTTATATGGTGTGAGCCCGGCCGGATGACACACGCAGATATACACGCGGTGGAGCACCTTCATTAAAACTGTTTTTAAAAATGAATCTGTGATATGCAAATTACCTATTAAATGCTCAGGAATAAGACCTTAAGGGGGAAAAAAGGCACATGCAAAGCACCAGCTCAGCAAGACCTCTGGGGCTGTGGTGTGCCGGGGTGACAGGCTGGGCTGTGCTGAGCCTGTCGGTCACGCCATGGGGGACACTGCTGCCCTCATGGCCATCCCAGGTGGCCTGGGGTGGCCCCGTGTGGAGCAGCCATGCCCATTGCCTGGCACAGGGCATCCCCTCCATGGAGGGCCTGTGGTCCTGGGGGATTTCTGCAGAGGATCCTGATCAACCAGGGCCATGAGTGAGTGCTGGAGGTCCCTTTTTCCCCTGCCCTGTGTCACTAGCTGGTGGCTTTAGGCTCTGGCAGCATCACCTTCTGCTCTGCTGCAGGAGACGTGGGGTGGATGCTGAGCTCCCCAGCCGGCCTGTGGGCAGCTTCTTGGAGCCATCCCAAGTGCTGTGGAGTTACTGGCAGTGCCCGGGCAGACCCTGCACCTCCATGGCCTCCTCCAGCCTCTGCCCTGAGCCTCCCTTGCTGCCTCTCATCGGAAACGGGGCTGCAGCACTGGCATTGGCCAGGCAGCAGTGTGACTTCCCTCTTTCCCAACTTGAAGAAAATCGGGATATTTCCATTGCCAATCCAAGACAAGAACCATTGTTTCTTTTGGATGCAGAGAGAAACTGGGAAATGAGGTGTCCAGAAGCTGGAACCTGTGCTGTAGGGGGTGAGAATGAAGGGAAACCTGCAGGGGCACATCTGGAGTTGTGCTCAGAGAACCTGTCCCCGAGACCTGTACAACAGGCTTTTGGGGAGAAATAGACTTAAACTGGAGAAACAGCTGCCCTTGGAGCTCTGCTGGTGATCCTGAAGAGCAGGAAAATAGTGTTGGGTGGGAAGAGAACGCGTTGTACCAAAAGACAGCGGAGAAAGTGAGTGAGATGGCTTGGACAACTACGTCCAATTAGCCTGACATTAATCCTGGGCAAACGGGTGGAAAAACTAATGCAAGACACAATTAATGGGAGAATTAGAGCCTGGGAATATAAATTCATGCCTGTCAGTGCGGTTGAAAAGTAGTCGGTCCTGTCAAACCAACCTGATTTCGTTCTCTGATGAGATGAAGAGTTTGGTTGATGGAGGCAGTGGCACAGAAATAACAGGCTCCAGACGGTGTTTCACACGGAGACACGATGCCCTGGTTAAAAAGCTGGTGGAAAGTGGATCAGAAAATGAAGCTCATGAACACGGGAGGGAATATTGCCGCTGTCGCCGTTTTGCAGCCGGGTGGTGGTGGCAAGTGGCCCCGTCCTGGCCAGGGTCCCCAGAGCACCAGTGGCTGGTGCCGTGGGGGGACCTGTGCTGGGTGCTGTCACTGTGGGAACTGGGCAGAGAAGTGAGTTGTGTTTGTGTTGCTCCGGGGCAGTAAATCGCCTGGCTCACATGTGTGTGTGTGTGTGCGTGTGTGTGTGTCTGTGTGTGCGTGTGCTGCCTGCCCTGGGTTACGCACCAGCTCTCCAGCGAAAACGCACGCTTGCAGAAAATGTCAAGTTTGCTTTATTTTCCCAGCCCGCTATCTGAAGATGATTCTTGAGTGTAGCAAAAAGCAGCAGAAACTGTGCCCAAAGTAAGACCCAAATCCATCTGATTATGAATGGATTTAATTAACCACCATATTCCCTTTTATCAGAGCTCTAGCAAGAGAGAGATTTATGCAGCTCTTGTCTCATCCCTCCTCACCACTTCAGCGCCTGTTTCAAGGTGATGGGAGAGGTCCCTGGCTGATGTAGCACCTGGCTGGAACCTGCTCTCTGCCCCGGCTGCTGTTGTCTCTGGCACCCGGAGCCCTGAGCAGGGGCTCGTTCCCACAGCCCCCGTGCTGCAGCATCAGCTCCTCTCCCCATGGAAGCTGTGGGTGCTGCCAAGCTCTGAGCAGTCACCGCTGCTGCTGGGGGGACACCATGACTGGGCTTGGTGGGGGCACACCATGGCTGGGGGCTGCTCCCCAGCCTCGGTTTCCCATCTGTTCTCCGGACTCAGTTCCTCCTCTGGGAGATTTTTGGGCAGTTTTGGAAACATGGAGTCTTCCCCCCACCCTGCCAGGTGCTGGAGGACTGCCCAGCCCAGTGCTTATGGTTGTTCCCCTCGCCAGCTGCCACGCGTGGGCACAGGCACGGTGGTCCCTAGGTGGTAACCACAGAAAGTGTGCAAGGGACCAGCCAGCTCCTTGCTTGTGAGAACACGGGGCCTGCTAAAGTCCTTTATTGCTGCTCTTTAAATGCCACATTTTTCTTAAGGTCCAACATTTTCCCAGCCGTGCTGACCGTACTTGAAGACAGGTAGAAATACCGTCCTTTGCTAGAATGCCTGGGGGACACGACAGCCAAAAGCAGGAGAGTGACAGGGGCACACACTGCCAACAGATGTCCCTCCCCGTGACCCTCCCCATGTCCCCAGGGATGGGGGCCACCAGCACGGATGCTCACCGGGGTGGCTGAGCGGGCAGGACCATACCGTGGTGGGGCTGTGGCTGTGCCGTGGTGGGGCTGTGGCTGTGCCATGGTGGGGCTGTGCTGTCCCGTCCCTGTGTGTGCTCTGCCGCGGCTGCTCAGCCCCCGGTAAACATTACAGACCCCACGTGTCCTTCACACCTAAAGAACCCCATTAGGGTGCATTAGTAAGCCATGACTGATGGCCTTTCTTCTCTCAAACAGCACAGCAGCTTTTCAAACACAGCGGTAATCAAAGTTTTATTGCAGCTGGCTTGATGTCCTGCAGGTCTGCTGTTTCAGATCAGCTCTGGCAGCTTGGAGCCCACCCAGGGCCCTCAAGAGCTGTCATGAAACACAGAGCGGCCGTGGGGTCACCGAGCAGCGGGGACTTTGCCGGAGGTGCCGGCTGCTGTGCCTCTGGCAGCCCCCGTCCCGGTGGCATCGCCGGCAGGGCTGCCACGGGCACCGCGCTGCTGTGGGGCTCCTCTGCCGGGAGCTGCACCGCCAGAGGAGGGGAAGGCTGTGCTCAGCGTGCTGCCTTTGGGGGGCTCGTTGCATCCCCCCCGGCTCCAGCAGCTCAGATGGCCACGCAGACCCTCCCCTGTCCTCTGAGCCGTGGGGCTTGTGCTCTCCTTGGCTCACTTGTGGGGTTATTCCAGCCCAATTTCTTTCTGGTTTTGAGTTTCATGACATCTCGCTGCCCGTTCATGCACCCTGCTCCTTTTGTGCTGCCCTGGGCTCCTGTGTCTGGAGGTGACGTGTCCCCCCCAGCTCCCAGGAGGCTGGGGTGAGAGCAGAGCAGGTTTGGACGTTGCTGCAGGATGCTCTCTGCCAGGCTGGGGCTGCCAGTGTGTGCAGCGTGGTGGGGTGCCATGGCCAGGGTGGGTTTAGGTCTGCACAGCGGCCGGGGGCAGCACCTGGTGCCCAGGTCTCCGGTGCCCGTGGAGGAGAGCGCAGGGAGCCAGGAGTGGTGCTCAGGCTTTCCCTGAGTAATGGCCCCACTCCTGTTTCCCTGGGCTCACTTAAATAAAGTGCAACGAAGCAGCACTGAGAGCTCCTGTTATGAACTCCGTGCAGGCAGGGCTAAGATGTGAAGGTAAAGAACCAGTAATCCACTTTATCTGTGTTATTTATTTAGAAGATGGTGAGGAAATGAGGAGTGAAACGTTCCCATCCCAGCCTGGAGGACAAGCAGGGGCTGCCCTGCCCTGGGAGGCGTGTGGTGGGGCAGGACAGCGTGGTGTGTGCCATGGGGCAGGGCTGCCCGCGGTGGGGCCTGTGCTGTGGGGCAGGGCAGCGTGGTGTGTGCCGTGGGGCAGGGCTGCCCGCTGTGGGGCCTGTGCCGTGGGGCAGGGCTGCACAAGGAGGCTGTGGGACCACTTCCCAGCGGTCACTGGTGCTGGGATGTCTCTGAACCCTGGCCACCGCTGGCTCCCACTAGGCAGTGTGGCACTTCCAGCCCAGAGGGGACCACCAGGGTGGTCCAGGGATGCCTCAGCGCATGGAGGCTGGAAACCCCGACCTGCCATGGCGTGATAAAACTGCAGCTTTAAGGACAGGGTGTCCTATCTCTGCTGCTTCACCAAAAGCAGTGTGAGGCCATGTCCAGGTGGTCAGTCCTGCAGCGTGGAGGACCAGATCCATGTGCCAGCATGGTCCCCACAGCCATACAGACACACTCCTGTGGTGCAGGTGGCACATCCCTGCTG